CAATGTTCCATTCAGGTTTTCTGGGAATAGTGGGTAGTTGTGCAGTAGCTGAAGGCCAGCTAAACTGCTCCTTAAAGTGTTCCGCCCATCGTTCTAAACGTTCAGGTTGAGAGCAGATAAGGGTTCCGTCTTTTTCCGAGATTGTCTCACTTACACTTGACTTCTTAATTCCGGTTTCTTTTATTAGTCTGAATAGTTGCCTGGTGTTGCCTACAGCCACTGCCTTTTCCATCTCTTTTGCTTTCGTTGCCCACCACTGCTCACGATCGTTCCTTAGGCTTTTAGTTAACCTAGATCTAATTTGTTTACGCTCTTCGTCATGTTCAGAGCCTGATGGGATGAGTTTACGCGAATCCATCAGTGAAATAGACTTAGAAGAAACCCACTGGTTTTTTGGAGCCCTATGGTTTAAATGACTAATAGATGTTACTGCCGTTTCCACAGCTGTTCGTGTGTCTTTCCAAGCAGCATCTGGGTCAGTCTCGTTTACAGAACTGCCTAGATGTGAACTCAGTTGTTTCTGGAATTCGCATTTGGCTTTCTCGTCCTCCAGTTCAATCCTAATGGGTCTTCTTAGTGTACTTTTCCTGCGTCCATTGAGGCGCAGACAAATGCGTGCTCGTATTAAAGCGTGATCAGAGTCTAAACAAGTATTCCAATACGAGCGACAATCTTCTATTGAGCCTCTCCAACGATGACTGATGACAATATGGTCTATTTGAGTCCATCGTTGGTTTGGTGCAGGTGGTCGCCATGTTAGACGATGTCTCTCCTTATGTTTAAAATTAGTGCTTGCTAAAAATAAACGATTGTCTGAGCATAGTTGCAACAGACGATCACCATTATCGGTTCGTTGAGCCGGAATACTAAAACACCCACCTAAATGTCTTTCTGTTTGATTTAAGCTGCCTACCTGGGCATTAAAGTCACCCGCTACGACTACTATGTCTGAGCGCTTAGCTTTCTGAAGAAGCTCAGAGAGTTTTCTGTAAAAGTCATCTTTTACTTCATCATGGCTGCAGTCAGTGGGAGCGTAGGCAGAAACGACGAAAAGGCAACGACGTGTGTCCCTATCCTTCCGAGTTCTTATGGAGCCATTTAGCCGGACAGCACACAGGCGACTATTAACGGGGATCCATTCTAGTAGTGCCTGTTCTGCCCTTGTACTTAGTGCTATGCCTACACCTGCAAGTCCGCGAGAACTAGCCAACGGGTCGCCAGATACACGGAGGGTGTATTTCGTCGGCTGTCCATTTTGGCGAGGTGAGGTCAAGTGAATGACCACACTGGGATCCTGTATGCGTGTTTCGGAGACACAGCATACATCAATGGTACGAGATTCTAGGGTTTTAGCTAAGGAGGCCTGTTGACCGATTTGGCATAGGGTACGTACGTTGAAGGCTCCAATGTGTAGTTTGGAGCGAGGTTTAAGTAGACCTGGGACAGCGTTTCGCGCACTAGAATCGTTGGCCATGGTGACACTTGCTGAGGAAACCGAGAGAGGAAGTTTAGTGTTGAAAGTCAAGGTAGAGGGAATAGTAGGAATTGAAGAAGAAGATTGATTATGAATACAGTGGTCTTGAGTGCTGTTAGAGGTATGAGGGCAGTTATCACTTCCCGGTTGCCCACACCGTGGAAGGATTCTTCTAGAGGTACCTGAAAAGGAAATTGGGTTAGGAGTGGTCTTAATGACCTGAGAGCGTGACCGCAGTGCCCAAGGGACAACTGCTTGAGGTCGGTCACACACGACCTTTTTGTGGGTAGTTTTTGTGTTAGCTCCGTTCTTCAAAAAAAAACCTTACCGCCGGAGACGGAAATCCGTGGGATAAGGCGAGGTGTGCATTTTTAGGGTCGACCTTTTCTAACCCCACCCCTCCTTGTGGGAAGGCAGCATCGCTGTCATGCTGGTTGTCTGAAGGAAACACCTTACTGCCGTCACACCTCTGTACAGTCAGCAGTACGACTTCGCCTTCGGACCTTGGGTTTGCTGCTTTTAGTCTCACCGCTCTTCAACCGACCTGTCTGGCATGGTAGGACCTCGAGGAACGACTGTTCCAGCCAGCATAGCTCGATTGCTTCATCACGATAGTATGGTTGAAAAATGTATAACAGGATGTTACACGAAATTCCATCGGCTGTTCGTCTTTTTTGTGCTAAAGTGCAATAATTTAAATAGACTAGTAATTATAACAAGCGTTTTTACATATAATACTTATTTATTTATTTATTGAAACACATAAAAATTGGTACAATGAAGCACCAGATAAATATGCGCCTCACAAATTTCATTCGATTTGTGTGAGGGCTGTGATACTGCCCAGGTGCCCAGACTGAAGCAGGTGGTTTTCTTAGGGGGCCACATCCGGAGCCTTTGACCTGACTGTCTGATCCACAAGGCAGTGGAGCATCGTGAGGAGATGCAGTCCCATGGTAGCCGGTGATCAATGACAGGTTCGTCCGCCATTCGTTCCATCAGGATACTGGAGCCCATGTGCACCATTGGTTTTGAATCAGGGTTTTCCAACTCCCCTAGGTGGACCCTCCGTGTCCACCAACCCGGTTAAAGCGCCGGACATTCGCTTTTCGTCCTCTCCATTTCGTAAACAACACCCCCGCCACGAGAAGGCAGTGAGTAGGACTTCCCAGGCAGAGGCTATATATTCGCTGGCCATATGAGAGTATTTCGAGAGGGAGAGGTGACTCTCCCCACTCACGGCCGTACCAGGGCATTTGGGGGCTATAATACTTAAGTTTAACCATAAGCAACTTAGAACCTGGCAAATGTAAGCATTAACCCGTTTTTACACCACAGCAGTACAGCGAGATGGAATTATCAAGGTGAATACAACAGCAGAAATAATAGTAGTATCAGAGGTGACATAAAAGATTAGGGATATGAAATATGAGTTAGATGGAGTTTTACTCTCTGAGTTGGACCAAACCATCCAGCTTAGAGAACGAAACTCTATCAAAATCATCCACCCGAGTTACAAAACTCCACCACGTAGATTATGATTCCTGAAAAATACTGATTCTCGAGACAAAATAAAGTTAGACAAATTTGAAACTCATGGCTTAAGCGCGGGTATTAAGTGGATGCATCTGCATTTGCATATCACCCAATGTCTTGAACCATTGGTCATGATAATCGCATTGACCACAACCATGAGGCCTGAACCAACTAGTATGGTTCACTTTAATCATTTCATGCACTGACCTCATGTTACGAATTGATCATTCCCAGATTTCTTTAGACCTAATCCTACATTAGCCAACATTGAGACCAATGCTTCGAAGAAACCTATGATCAAATACTAGTAACCTATGAGCGAATGCCTATAAAGACATTGATTTATAGTTATAAAACTAGGAAGGACTGCCGCACAGTATACTCACCAATTCTTTGGCAAACACCTTGTCCATAGCACAGGTGACGCAAGCTGATAAAAGTTACATAAACTTTTTGTATTAGTCTGGAGATTTCGTAGGATACCAAATCGAGAGAAATAATGAAACTGTTTAGTTAAAGTTTAGTTAAACACATAAATATTGGTACAAGGAAGCACCAGATAAATATGCGCCTCACAAATTTCATTCGATTTGTGTGTGGGCTGTGATACTGCCCAGGTGCCCAAACTGAAGCAGATGGTTTTCTTAGGGGGCCACATCCGGAGCCTTTGACCTGAAGGTCTAGTCCACAAGGCAGTGGAGCATCTTAAGCAGATGCATTCCCATGGTAGCCGGTGACCAACAGCAGGTTCATACGCCATTCGTTCCATCAGGATACTGGAGCCCATGTGCACCATTGGTTTTGAATCAGGGTTTTCCAACTCCCCTAGGTGGACCCTCCGTGTCCATCAACCCGGTTAAAGCGCCGGACATTCGCTTTTCGTCCTCTCCATTTCGTAAACAACACCCGCCACGAGAAGGCAGTGAGTAGGACTTCCCAGGCAGAGGCTATATATTCGCGTGGCCATGTGAGAGCATTTCGAGAGGGAGAGCGAACTCTCCCCACTCTCGGCCGTACCAGGGCATTTGGGGGCAAAGAATGAGTATAAGAGACTTCACCACTTATCATCAAACTAGATAATGATGCAAACCAGCCTTGTAGCAACACTATGCATTTAGAGGGTAGCATCCAAAAATGATTGAATTGTTGCGATCAGAAAACTATATCAGAGCCCTCATAATCAACAACTGAAATGAGCCATGTCAATACGTGTAAACTACCTGGTTGAGGTTTGCTTGATTACAGTAACCAAAGGTTAGAGACTGAATGACATGGCTCAGAAGTGTTTTCCATGGCACAAGTGCATTCATCATTTGTCTTCCCTAAATTCTGAGCTCTTCAATTTATGACTTTTTGTGGTTTTATTTAACCAATTTATGCATTTTTGGATTGTATCTTTGATGCCTAATCTTTTCAATCATCACTGAAACTATTAGTTCCTCTACTATTCTGGAGATTGGCGTGACAAATGAGTACGGTAACATGTGCCGGAACACATACGTACCAGGTTCTGAGTTGAGATAGATCGACAGAGAGCCCTCATCATGCACACTTATGTTATCTGTGTTAATAAGTGAATTTCATAGTAGGAAGTCAATCTCTAAATGAAACATTCTTCAAATAATGTACATGACGAAGTCAAAAATGGACAAAGCGGATAAATGACGAATAAAACATATGTTGAAAGTCTTTGTTGCTTCAGCTTTTTAGCCATATATATGCGTCGACTGAAGTTAGTAACCTGGTTGAGTAACATGTCATCGTACAGTAAGGCAATACAGACTACGCTTGTTGAGGTGTATTTCTGAATATGGTATCTACGTATGTCAGCTACTCCCAAAACTTTTTAGAACCCGCCGATGTTAAAATGCATGGAGAATGTGAAGCTTTATTTGAACAGTTCTAAAGACGACAAAACAAACGGGATGCACACACTACCAAATTTGAAATAACATAACTATGTGAATAAACCGAACATAATATAACTTACTTTCCAGATGATAATGACTGGCTAATTATCTTTACGAAGAAATCTCATACTACTGAGTGTAATGGCTCGCATCTAGCCTGAAAGAACGTAGAGTACTAGGGAAGAGTAAGCGAGAAAATCTAGAAAAAAACATGGGGAAAAGTGAGCCCACGACTGAGAAAGCTCTTGAAATTTACTTGCACTTAGCAGTTAGAACGATCGAATACAAATAACAATGACAAGCAGAAAATTGAAAACAATCTGATCCTAGAAACTATAAGCTAATAAAGTACGTTACGTAGTCCCCTGTCCAAATCCACCGCGACGTGCGCAAGGTCGACATTGAATGTGTTTGAGGTGAGGTAGCATAAGTCATTAACATTCTTTTTAGTCATATACCGATTGTAGGGAAGTATTTTGCATATCAGTAAAACGCCAGCATCTACAAATGATAACTCAGCAGTAACAAAAGACAATGATCTTTTACATGCGCGACACATAACGCAAAAATCAAAGGAGATGAATTAAGTTCGAAGCATATTCATGAAATTCTACAAAAAGCAGCACTGAGATTTATTGATGTTTCATAGAAAATACCACATCTTAATATGAAGATGGTAAATCTCTATTCCTTGGTTTCATAGTTTACTGTATAAGCAATACAGATCTAATTACTACTAACCGTACATGTTTCTTCCTTCTAGCTGACACTTCAGCATACCAAGTGTTGAATTAAACACTACCTAGTTTCATTATCACAAAAAGATGAAGGATTTGTGCTTCTCAAACTCATAAGTCTGCTGACCTAGTAGGGGTTCCTCGCATACTAGTGAAGGAATGCATTGACCTAACTGTGGTGTTTTCCACAGGACTTGAGCTAAACTCTAGTTCTAGAAAGGGCACACTTAAAGCTGTACATACAAGAGTTAGTAAAGCAAAAACATACGATGGAAGACCATTATCCTTCCTTTCTTTTATTGTAAGGGTCAATTGTATCTCCTTGAGATATTATCCACTCGAAAGCTGAACTCTGTCTGAATTCCCCCAAGAATATCATTCACTTTCAGGCAGAATAACTTGGAAGTTGACGAACTCTGAGCATTTATGAAAATGACTGTTTTAAAATCAGTTTCTTAAGATAACTACATGCGTTTTTGAAACGCCAGATGAAAGCTAGATTGATAAAGACGAGTTTTTCCTGTAACTCAGATTTAAAATGAATCTTACTTTAGAGAGAGTGCCAATAACACAAAGAGAGGGTGTTTTTGGTCCCGAAACGGTATACACTCACCTCGAACTCTGCAGCCGAATCCCAAGTCCCAAACTTTTCTTTCCATTGTTAAAGTTGATGTACCGTATCAGTCACACCAAATAATAAATGAGAGACAGCCGAGATTATGGATTACTTTTGTGAATACTTAGTGTGTTACAGCTGAACAGCAAAAGTATGACCGCCTAAACTATATAAGTTACATCGAGCGATAAGAAGCCTGGACTATATTGACGTGGCAGCCAATTATTTCTACCTCCTTATCATTCGTAAATAGCCAACAGAATCTTGCCATGCATATGATTTATTGCTTTTTGATACACAAAGACAAGTTACGGCGACATAGCATTACTTTCCCTCTTCACTGAACGAAAAAATTGACATTCTTGTGGTTCACTGAAATTATCAGCTAATTCATTCTAAATGTACTATGTTGTGGCGAATAACTTTTTCGAAATAAAATAGCTTAAGTTGGTGTGAACGGTGAATAGGACGGCATGAGTTTCAAATCGCCTTCTGGTGTTTCCTATGGTTTTAGTTGTTATCGTGATGTTGGTTAAAACCGCAAGAAATGTTCACTTGCGTTATTTTAATCACCAGAACTTTATTTTCTACTGTCAAAACGCCTGCGGAAAACCTTTCATTAGCAAATTGCTGGAATCAGGAGTGGAATGTTAACATTATCGGAGAGATGATTGTTTGACGAGTAGCTACCGGGATCTAGATTTTTGTGTGGGAGTTTATTGTTTTTGCAGCCCCACGACAGAATAAAATTGGACACAGTCACATTCGGCAACCCGATTCTTATAAATTTGAGGTAGGAAACAGGACTACATCGTTGATCCAATACTCACAGTAATGACAAAATTGATAAATGAGTCCCAAGTGCATACGGTTGCGCTTTTATTCTCTTTGACCACCACAAGCCTACAATACTGCCATTAGCCCTCACACTGTGTAGTAAATGTCTGACAATTGACTTTCAGCCTCCGTAAGATTCACAGGACTCGTTTTAAAAAACTTCAGATTCAACGAGTCTCGACAATTTTTATATTATCCAGTCTATATTTTCTTCATTACTCAAAGTGGTCATCAGGGCACATTAAACATCTAGTTCGCAACTGGAAACCTGGGACGCCTAATACTGATCACAAATGAATACCATTTTCTAAGTATTTGTTAACGAAATTATGCGACATGCACTCCATGCAATTCATTTTCGTGCTGGTTCTTCGAATGTTTGAAGTGTTGTTTAGGACCTCGACCGATCAGTTTCTTATCCATATACACCCAACTGACGGGTCCCGAATATGACGAAAAAAGCTTCCTGGATCCCACTGCCAGCCACCACCCATCTCTGGTTGTATTATTACAAAGATTTTTGTTTGGGGAAAAGGTCGTTTCGCAAGTTTTAAACATTTGCCACACTAACCTTTCAGCTTTAAAACTTGACACGTTGAGAGAGCTACATGTAGTGCCCTGCAAGTTAATAGGAATGTAGTGAGTTAATCTACAGTAACGAGTTACTAACTGTTATATCGTGTGAACTCGTAATATATATGAACGTGCAAGTAGAGAGGAGTGAATTTTATTGATCGAACGCGAATAATGATACTTGAAATCGTACGAGCAGTCTTGAGTGCGTATCGGCCCTGCTACTGCCTAGCCCAGCCAGTTGAGTCCAGAACACAAATAACAGCCTCGACAATATGAATCATTATTTACAAACATACTGGGTTTTTATACAAACCAAAGTAATCAATAAACTGATTATAACTCAAGAATCGTATGATAATAAATCAAAGATCAAAATAAAGCTAATGATAAGAGAAAACGAATATGAATAACTTAGTTACGTAACAACTGTACAATAAGAAATAGGCATAATACATTGGTCGATAATAGACCTCAGATTTACCATTCATAATTCACCAGGGGATAAAACACTAACATTTAAGTTTTTATTCTGCGCTGAGTATACAAATTAGTCCCACATTACACGGGGTGCTAAATGTCTAACCACTTTGGAAGCCACTGAAGATAGAATACTATTAAAAAGATGGCTTGTAATCTGCTTTTAACACAACCAAATGAATTTAGATTTCAAGTGTACGAACCAGTTGAATGTGGGAAGCAAATTTGTAAGGTGTCTCTTATGCTCTATTAGTATCTAAGTGATAAGTATATTAGTCATAATTATTACATAGATTATTGACTAACGATCTAGTTCCACTTCTAGGAGAACTCAAAGCAAGTTGAATGGTAAATAAAGTAAGACTTCATCATTTTTATGTCTCTAGGATACATTACAAACTCGTCACATGAAGTAATTTGATACACTAGTGACTAGATTCTAAAGTGGAGTTCTGCGACCATGCCTCTGACCATGAAAGGATCTTATCCTACATTAATATTACAAAACTCAATGACTTGGGAGACAAAACTGTTACTAAAATCTATACCCTTCAAGAATGCCGACTTATCTTTCTACATCGTCACAAACATGACAAATGACAGCCAGTATTCAGTGAATGGTTTGTTATACATAATTCCCATCACAAATTGTGAAGATGCCAAGCAGCATAATAAATTATGGATGGAATATAACTGACTGCTATTCTGCGAAGATAGCAATTGTATGAATCAAGGATGTGGGATTTCCAGTCTGTATGCAACTTTGATATATGATCACTTGGATGAGTGGTGAAATTCTGACAGTAGGAGTAATACTCAAAGACGTAGTTTGTGAAATTGATTTTTATTGAATCTGTGAAAAACAGAGGAGATTAAAAGAAAACAACGTTCCTATTTACCTTTCATATAACCATCGATCTTCTGAGTGACGTTGATAGTGTGTGGAACATTCTGTTGTTGTTCAAATGAACACATTGCATGTTGAGCGTAAATTGCTCCTATAGTCTAGGAAAATCAGCCGTCCTACTGGCCAATACTTGTGGTTCCCACTCCCATATTCTGTAATGAATTGGTAGCCAATTAACTGGTAATTTGAAGCTTTTTTTACAGCCAAAGCACTCACCTGTTAAAACACTTGAAAAGCATTAAAAAACGACATGTTAGTGCTTCTAACGTTCACTACGATTTCCTCCACTTCTCTGATGAATGCAATGACTGTGCGTAATCTGTATTTGTGAGATTCCTTCTCCACTCAGCCGTTGAAATTTCTTGGAGTCACGTTCTAATTCTGTTCAAATGAAGATCCTTTCAATAAGAAACATCCATAAAAATAACCTGCTGATCTACTGATACCATATTGTATCTTGTTTTTGTAATGGTATTACCATTAACCCAGAGTAGGAAGCTATAAACAACACGGAAAATTTACTAAGCTACACAATACAAAGTGAAAGACATTATTTGAATTGGTCAATCAATCATAAATTAAGTCGTCCTGAAGGTACTGAGATCGTATATACTTACTGAACAATCCAGCTGTTCCATGAAAATAGAAGGATAAGAGGGAAAGCTTAAATTTCCTCAAGCTTTGTTATATCTGGCCTGGAGCTATATCTATTTGCGTGACAATTAATATCCGCTTTTTACTAAAGCTTTTTGCTTTTCTGACGTTTGTGCTACTATCTTACGATTACCATGGATTGAATCCACGTCATTTCACTCTAAGTTTTTATTATGACAGAAGCCATATTGATTCTTTTCCTGCTTCTGATTTTATCGACAGAACACAGGTATATGATTAAAATTTTATGCTCCACATCTTACAAGGAACTTTTTGATTAAATTTCCCAGAGAAAAGATGTTGGTCAATCAATGATAATTCTGTACTTCGATTTCAGTGATGCTTTTGTCGTAGTCCCCTTTTATCCTGGTTCAAATCATTTTTATAAGAACTTAGCCGAATCGTTCGCTTTGGATCTTGCTACCCCAAGACTATTGATGTAACCAGTGTGATTATATAAGGAAATGTGATTAACCTGTTTTTCTTTCTTCTTCTCATCAGTAGACTGTGCTCACTCTTTCAGCATGGTAAAACTTTCTTTCTTGTCAACGATCTAAAAGTGGTGAACTCATTCTTGCTTTCTAC